AGATTTTTTATTGCGTCCTAATACGTACACACTTTCCACGTACCTACGCAGAATTATTATGAAACCACTACACTTTTTTATAAATTGTAACTAATTATAAATTTAATTTTTTATTTTCAAGCGTAACACTTAAATATAGTACCATCCCCAGAGACACTTCTAATGAAGTGGTACTGTGGGATCATATGGTCTAATATTTGAAATACAGAAAACAAAAGAAAATGTTAGCACAGCTGTTGATTAAATAAAACATGGTTTTACTTACACGGGCCCTCGTGTCTGAAATGTAGAAAGACTATGTTAATAGTACATTTAAAATAAAAATCTAGATTACTTACCAATTGGGCCACGTAGCCGAAGGCATCATCTGCGGTGATGTCTCTTATTCTAAAAATATAAAAAAATATTTAGGTAATGTCGCTATGCTAAAAAATAATACTTTCAAATAAAAATCTAGATTACTTACGGTATTGGCTGATAATCCTGGGCCCCGCAGCCGAAGGCATCACCTGCGGCGATGTCTCTTATTCTAAAAAAATATTTAATAGTTTAAAATAAAAATTTAGATTACTTACGATATTGGTTGCGACTCCCTGCTCTCGGAGCTAAAAAACAAGAATTGATTTATGGAGTTTAAATTAAAATGTATATCAATATCAGTTTTATATGAAAATTAACTTACTAAATCATTTAAGCTGAAACATAATTTTCATTTTTAGAAAGGTACTATTATATTATTAATTAATTATTTATTTTTGTTATGTTTTGAATGCTTATATGACTCTTTTTAATTTTTGGGTGTGGGTTCAGATGTTATATTGACTATATATTTTATATGTATAGAGAATTAAAAGCCCTTTCCAATGTCCCCCCACTTGACCCCCATTCCCATTTAAAAAAATTTGGAGGATGGCACACCCCCACTTAGGGGGTTGAAGATTTTGCTATGCTTTTTGCGCCAAAAGTTGTCCCCCTCAGAAGTAAACTTTACCNATTTTGAAGAAAATGTTCAGTACTAATTAAAAGTTGAGAAGTTCAGCAAATTATTATCCATACATATTTTCTCAATATTTTGAAATGTAATTATTTTGTGTACATTTTAAAAAATGTAATTTTTTACATATTATAATAATATGTAGTTTTAAGTAAAAATTGTCAAATAAAATTATTAAATAAATAGTATTATCTATATTCTTTGCTTCTAAAAAAATGTAATTCTTTTATGTAAAAGCAGAATTTAAAATTTATATAAATAATACATGTTTTATATTTTGTATTTGTGAATGGCTGCATTTTTTATGATGAAATAAATCGAATTATACTGAATATATTTAATAAAATGTAACTATAAAACTATAAACTATATAAATTAATTGTTTTATTAAATACATCAATGATTACAAGTTTTAGTAGTTACAAAAATTACTTACCAATAAAAAAGTGTCTTTTATTAGACGCACTGTAAAACATCACATTAATATATAACAAACTGACAATACTAGCGTTATGTCTATTTATAGAAATATTCAAATCTGCAACTGTATTCCATTAGTTTCCTTTAACATAGTATAGGCAACAGCTTATACAAAGATAAGAAATATAACGGTGTATATAAATTATATAGTTAAATGAACTAAAGGAATATTTTATCCTTTTATTATAATATTTTTACTGTCTCGAATATTTAATTCAAAATATACCTATTTAACCAAATTTAACATTCAAATTCGTTTGATTTGTAAACATTAAGTGCTAATATATGCGCGCTAATTGAAAGGGAAATGATCTCGCTATAGAAGCAAGAGTACAACGCCGGGACATCTAACATTTATAAACTTAAATGTAAATTAAACCATTACAGTCTACCGCAGTGTGTATTATATGGCTATAATGAAAGCGAACTACTGACACCATCTGTGACAACTTTTATTTACTACAATATTTGAATGGACAATTACAGGGGCAATTCAATTACTTTACAAACTGCATGAAGTAGTACACCTTGCTAAATAAAATAAAATGTCCAAATACAGAGAAATTAAAAAATATGTAAGCAAAAGTAAACATTTATTGATATAAAATATAAAGTACAATAGAAGTAAAACCTTAAGTTTTAGGATTACTTTCCGCAATTCTTGCCCTTCTCTCATTTTCCAATTTTTGTAGTCGTTTTCTTTCATCCATCTTAAATTCCCTTTTGACCTTTTTTCATTTTCCAGTGACACAATGTGAAGTTCTGATTATTAATTTACTATCAATATTTTGATAGGGGTCATATGTTTGACAGTTATAATGATCCCAGTTTTCTTCAGATTCAAGAACGAAGTTTGAACAATTAGCCATCACTTTCAATTAAATATTTGAGTTAGACAGCAGACAAAGAATGAAGGATTCGAACAAAATCGCAATATTTAATGTGAAATCCCCCTCCGTTGTGAAAAATATATGAGAACGAAATGGTAGCTGTTTTCCCATCGAAAAAGCATATGGCATCATTTCCAAAAATGGAAAGCACATCTGTTGATAACATTATTTCTAAAAATGGTCTATTACATCATAATTAAAAAAAATGCCACATATGTTTGCCAAATATTTATGACATATTGTCCAAAAATAGAACACATCTGGTGAACAACCAGTCATAACCCAAGTTTATTACATCTTACACAACTATGTTAAGCATAAAGGTGGAAGGGGTAATAACATGGTCATTGTCGGGTTAGTGATTGACAATATATTCCAGCACATAACTCAAATATTGCAGTGTTTTAAAATGGCAAGAAGCTGTTTCTACGAGACTGCCGAAAAGTTAGTCATTATTAACACGCGAAAATTTCAACTTAACAAATCCAATACTAAATCAGTGTGTAGGGCTGTGTCAAAACTTGAACTATGAACCGTGTGTGATCATTTCTGGAAAAAAAGTTGTTCAATTTAAAAGAGTGGGAGAACTTTTTGTCACACCAAGAAGTTATTACAAATTACTTATACTCCTTTGACGAAACAATGCCTGTGAAAACTGACATTTAATATATATTTTTCAAAGTTTTCTACCAATCGAGTAATTTCCATAGAGAAAAACTAGAAAACAATATTTTTAGCCTCTGAAACTCTGTTGAAACTGTGGGAGTTGTTACCGCTTATAAAATACAGGATCAACCTATTAAAAAAATTACAGTTTGGAAATTATTTCGACGTGTTAAAAACTGGATTGCGAAAACAGACTGGTAATGTTTTCTCCAATGCTTTAAATATTCTCAGACCTGAAGATAATCCGAACACTAAAAATTTCACCGAATCGCATCTGTGATATTTCGATCTTTGTGTCTTGTCCAATACTGGAGCATCTGATCGTCCCAGTGGTATTCAAAAAACGAAATACGGATTTATCCATCGGCAGCAATTCATGCGTCGTGTTGCTTGGTAAGCAATAGAGCACAATATCATGTCTTTCGGCTACATCAACGATCGTATGGTCCAGATGGTATTTGGCACCATCAAAAATCAAAAGACATTTTCCTGCGGGCTTATATTTAGCTAAATGCTCAATCCAGCTGCAAAATGTGGTAATGTTCATGCTACTTTTAGGCGTCATAAGGACCAGTGATCCTGGTGGTAATGTGTCCTTCTATTCTGGTTTCAGTCTTTTCCCTTTAAACAAAATTGCCGCTGGAATGGAAATACCAGAGGCATTGCCACAGGAGACAACTGTAACGTTTTCCCCATGCTCTGGTGCTACCAGGTGTACACGTTTCGCCCCTTTTTTTGCTAGAACACTTTGCTAATGGTGTAAACTTAGCCTGCAACCTTTTTCATCAACGTTAAAAATTCTCTCTGGGCTATCCATGGGATCCATTTCCAAAAGAATTTCTTTCAATTTTGTGAAATGGTCATTTACGATAAATCTATTCAGTTTTTGGGCACGAGCTGGGTTCATACCTTGTGCTTTTCTTTGTCCTATTATAGGTTTTCGCCTTAAAAATCCGTTAAGCCAATACCTGCCAGCCATTTTAGACATGGTAGAAAATTTATTTGGTATACCACTTTCGGTACAGAAATTGTACACACACCTTCGAAGTGCCTTTGATGTAAGCGGGTAACCAACATCTGCCAGTCGAAATATTCTTGAAGACAGTTCTCTTTCTTGATCAGTAGTAAGTACTGGTTTTCGCCCCATTGCGGACTTTCTAGTTTCGTTATTGTCCACATATCTGCTCAGAGTTCTTCTAAGTATTGAAAATGTTTTTGAAGCTCCTTCACGTGACATTCGACCTTCCCGTACAGCTGCGACTGCATTTTGTAAGTCTTCTCTGGTCCACTTACTCCGAATGCCCCGATTTCTCGCCTTATCAGTCATACCTGTAACAATTTACACTGTAAATAAATTGTATACAAAGAGCTAGCAATAAGCCCATGTGCATATTGCCGACCCTTCGTGGTGGGCATATTGCTACACATGAAGTAAAATTAGGTTAGGTTGTGTTTTTGTCTATGGTCTTGCCTTAAATCGATTACTTTTCACCACAATCTAAGCTTTAGTATCTATGTATTAAACACAAGATATTGCAGGGTAATTGAAAGTTTCTTTCACAACCTTATAATATAAAAATGAAGCCGTGAAGCGTCTCACAAATACGATTTTTCGCAACACTAGTCGAATGGCGCTTGCTACTGGCGATATCACCGACTGAAATCTTACAGTAGGTTATCAAGAAACCACGGTTATTGTGTGTGCTGCCATCTTTCATAAAACCATCAAACTACGGCCCGTGCGCATATTGCAAACATGGGCATATTGTATTCACCTACCTTATAATAAATTAATAGCCTGGTTGTTTAAAAGGGTGGTGCGGAAAAAGATTCAAACAGTTTTAATCAGTCGAAATATGTGTTTAAGATGAACTATAAGCGCAAACATAGACCACATAGTATGGAATTTAATAAGATTCTGGTACGGTATTATCGGCTTACTGAATTACTGGTGTGGTTAACCTTGGTCGTCAATGTATTGTTTTTATAAGGTCTCTAATTTGCTGCAGGATATCGGAGGTACAGTTGATACCAAAAAGGCTTAAATCAAAAGGACCTGCTCGTATAAGGGCCCCTTTAAACTCGTTAAAATCGTATAAAAGGTCTTCCATAAAGAAATACAAATTTCCATTGGTGTATCTAAAAACACCATTGATGCCTATTGGTATCCCCGGAAACAGCTCGGTAATTATACCATAATTTTTCTGCTGAAATGTACACTCTTCGATTTCGGCATAGTAATTATTATTATAAAAAATATATGGTCTACCTGAATATGTATTAACTATACCCTGTACCTTAACAACGTCTTTTAGCCCTAACGATGTGAGGGGGACCTTTTTGTATCCGTGTTTGATGCGGAAGCCGGGAAACTCTACTATATAGTAATAAACCCCCGAAATAACGACAAACTCCTCGTTTGGCCTTTGATAAATGAAATCGATAGGTGCTATATCCGTATATGATGAGACTCTAACTGCTGGTCCATAGCTATAGTTTTTTAACTCAACAATCCATAATACCTCCCCGTTGAAAATACAAAAATGGTGATTAGACATTATCAACATTTTTTCAGGTTTCTTAACGTCACACAATCTAGGGAACGGACCTGTTGTTGTAGTAGGCGGGTTTATTGACTTCACTCTTGGTATTGAGGTGGTCGAAGTATGCGTAGTAGTACTTAACGGGGCGCCATATAAAAATTGAATGCCATGTACATCGTCTTCTCCAAGAGAATAGACCGTTTTGAACCAGGAATACACTATAGCATTAACGTCGGTAGTATGCGACAAGCCTAAAGTATGCCCGATTTCATGCATAAGAACAGGAAGTAAAGCTACTGTACCAGCAGGGCCCGGTTCTAAACCTTCATACCAATGTTCCTCCGAATCCAAATGAATTTCTCTACACTTATCATCGGTTATAGGAAAATATGCATGAGCCAGTCTTACTCCGGGGCCATCAAAAGGAAACTGACAAACTCCTTTCATACACGTCCAATAGTTACTGTAGGACCGTGGGGTGTAATGTATAAGAATATCCGCCTCGTCAATAATAGGTGTTTTCTTGAACGTTAAAGTTGACACATCAGACCACATGCTAAAAGCCCTCTCCGCTAACCGAATACCTGTCGCGGATCATCGAAAATACCAATTTTAACGTCTTTTTTCCCATGCATGAGAAGCTGCCACAAAATCTGATACTATGTCCGGTAAGCCACACCGAGGTTTTAACATCATAAATTCCGTTTCATTGTTTAAAGTTCCGTTAGCGACTATATGAGCATATTTTTGAAATGTTGATAAGGCGTCAGAATAGTCTAAGATCTGTTGTGCTGTTAGATAAATGTTGTTAAATATTGTGTCACATTAGTGGGGACTGTTGTTAAATAATCTGTCACATTAGTGGGGACTATTGTGTACACCACCCTTACCACAAATAGCAAAAACACTACACACAACATTTTATATATTTTTACAGAAATTGAGAACAACCACTGTTTAAGAGTTGGCTATAACACTGTGTTTATATAGGAAATAGACAGTGTTTAAATATTTCATCACCCCTCCTACTAGATAAATACTTTGTTGCACCTGGCAAGTGTTTTGTACTTATCTATACGAGGTTTGTAAATTTCCAAAAGCTTACACGTGTAGGTCATGTAGGTCGTGGGGTATTTAGATCACTTTGGCTCCTGATAAATGTATGACGTTTTATATTTACTCTCGAAAACTGCATATTTGGGAGTATTTTTAACCTTCGTTTTAATAAGTAACCGCTTTGTTGCATTCTGGCAACATATCTTGTGTTTATTATGTTTGTTAATTTCCATTAGTATAATTAGCTACACGTGTTTTGGCGATGTTCAAACATTTCAACAGTTTCATAGATAGGCGTTTATTGTGCCATGTCTGCTATAAGGGTCTATGTTTATTTATGCAAAACATGTAAATTAGTTCCAGGGTGTAGTAGTTGCTATTGCTATATATGGCGTTCATAAAATACCCTCATAGAAGTAATAAAAACTGACAAGAGTATATACAATATATTTATTATAGATATTTACAAGTCGAATAAACTTAAATCAAAATCCCAATCTTTTTCATCCTGTTCCTGTTTATCCTCACTAAACAACAGTTTTGCTGCCTCCAGCAAAGCATTCAAATTTCTTTATTTTATTCTGAAATCTGTTTTGATGAAAATAGTTATTCTGGGGAAAATTTGGTTTTCTACTGATTTCTTATATTTATTAAATTGTTCTTCTTTACTTAGAACGTAATAATTGCTTCGTCTAGGTCATCAATTTCTTTAGATCTGACCATTTGTTGATATTGAAAAGGTAAATTTCTAACAAACGTGTCGAGACTTAATTTTTGAAATACAGTGCTCAGTGCTCTTTTTACTTCTCTTGTTTCATGAGATTGTTTTAGTTTCGTCGTTAATAACGATTGACTCTGTAATATCCTATTGCTAAAATTGATTAATGATTCTTGTCGGGGATCATATGTGAGATATATCAAATCTTGTTGTAGCGCATCAATTTCGCGAGGGACTCCGAAAGTTTTAATTACAGGTTTATTTCTATTTAGTGAATTGGAATGCTGCGATACGGAAGGTTGAGAGAAAAGTGAAGGTGAAGATAACTCATACCAGCTCGATTGAGTTGAAGAAGCAGGTGATGGTTCTGATTGAGGAGTAGTATTAGTAGAATATGAAGCGTGGACCCCGGAAAATCTATTTGGGAGAATTACGTGACCTGATGGCTGACTTTTGTAGGATGTTATCTCGTTCAGAAGAACTTGTTGCAGCTGTAACTGTACATGGAGCTTTCTTTCATCTTTTACATTTGAAAATCAGTTAGTAAACTCATTAAAAAATGGTAGTCATAATATTTGTGTATATCTGCTTCCACTTTTCTTTGTTTAAAAAAATTTAGTTTTTCTTCTTCTAAAGCAAGCATCCTCTTTTGGACATCATTTCCGCGTTTTGCAAATTTCGGTGGCAGAGTTTGTTGTTTCTTGCTTGAGGATTCCTGCTGTTTACGTAATGGCTCCTGCTGTTGTGTTTCAGGCAATAAATTTTGGTCTTCCCTAGGTCGTTTAGATTGGTTGGCAGTACTTGTAGATTGTATAACCTGTATTGCGTCTAGTCTGTTATTTGATTCCTCGTTTACTGGTAATAATGAATCTCTCTACGTAACGAAATATTTCCCGAAGTTTCCCGTGGCGTCATTTGATCTGCCAAAAAATACAAACTCTCGAAGTATGGCCAAGAAGAACCACTTTTTTTCCCTCCTGCTGCACCGGACTGTTTGTATTTAATAGTTTTCTCATACTCTTTTCGAAAGGTATCTCGTAATCCTTTCAATTTGGTTTTTGCTACTTCACCTAAAAGTGTAAACAAGAAATATAGGTATAGGAAATGCATAAGTAGATACTAAGATAAGAATATTTATTTTGTAAAATATACAGGGCGATTCAGTCATTAGTTTTTCAAAAATAATGTACTGATGACTGAGTCACCCTGTATAGCTATAGGTTTTTTTTTTATTTTGTTACAGATTCCTCTCCACTGGACTTGGATTTCGTTCTTTAGCCTATTCATTCAGAATGTCACATAGTACAATAAGAAGAGTCATATATGAAACTTGTACAGCCATATGGGAAATATTACAGACACGGCATTTACCTCAGCCCACAAAGGAATTACTATTAAAAAGTTCTGCAACATTTTATGACAAGTGGAATTTCCCTAACTGTGTTGGTTGTATTGACGGAAAACATATTCGTATTAAATGCCCAAAAAACTCGGGTACTATGTTCTATAAATACAAACAGTACTTTTCCGTAGTACTACAAGCTGTAGCTGATGCAAATTATAAATTGCTGTGCATTGATATGGGTGGATATGGCAAGCAAAGCGATGGCGGAACATTCGCATCTTCCACTTTATATGAGCAATTAGAAAACGGACGTTTTCTTCCAGAAGATAAGAAACTACCTAATTCCGAAGTAATCCTTCCGCACGTTTTACTAGGTGATGATGCATATCCTCTAAAATCATATTTAAGGAAACCATATTCTAAACGAAATCTTTCACGCGAAGAAGAAATTTTTAATTACAGACTGTCACGAAGTCGAAGAACGGTAGAATGTTCATTTGGAATAATGGCAGCAAAGTGAAGACTGCTTAACAAACCTATAGAATGTCATCCTGACAAGGTGGATATAATAGTAAAATGTACTTGCGTATTACATTATTATAGACAGAGAAGGTATCAATCAGTCCAATGTATTACACTCCGAGCTATTCATTCACAGAGAAATTACAATTTCACACCACATCACGTTTAAACAACAGATCTGCCAATAGAGCATACGACGTACGAGACACATTTAAACAATATTTTAATAGCGAAATCGGTGCAATACCACAGCAGTATAATAATATATAAGTAATTATATAAATTGTACTGTACTTATATTTACAATTATTTACATGTATATGCCTATGCTCTGTGATGTACAACAAAATAAAAACGACTACAAAATAAAACGAAAAAAGATATACTTAACTGCTAACATTTAATTCTGTTGCCACATCTTCCCACAATTTCCGTGATATATCACGGTTGTGATAGCCCTTACTCTTTTGGTCCCACAATAGCCTTCTATCAAACACCAAGAAAATAAGTTTTTCACTGTCCATTTTGAAAATATCTGTGATAATTACTGTGAGACAATTGAACAAGACTTAAAACAATCGCGCGATCGCATTCAGTTCGCGCGAAAAAAACAAACCTGTTTGAACTTCTAGCGAAAAGCAGCGATTAGCGCTACTAATTCGCATGTACTGTAACCACCTGCATTTGATTGTGTAGGTTTGATAGTTCGCGCAAATTCGCGCGAAATCGCTTGCACTGTAACCGTAGCCTTAAACAAATCACCTGCTAGAGCATTTCCTAATGTGGAGAAAATCAATCGATAGAAAGGGAAGGGTAGGAGGTAGGGAACCGTCTTTAAAAAAGCACTCAAATATTTTGAAAATTTTCTTTCTGTGAAAAATACATCTTACGTTTCAAACTATTGTGCCGCCATCTATCGCTTAGAAGCTAAACTAAACTGCGGGAGAATTCTTAAGCAGGTGGCCAATTGTAACAGCATGGCGGACACTGGTTAATTATTTTAACCATAGACACATAGACGGCGCCGCTGTCTCCACTAATGTAGAGGCACTATTCGACCAAACGGCATTAATGAATTCAAATTTGGTTCTACGAAATTCTATGCAGCTTTAAAATAGATCTCAATTTTTAGGACATTTTTGAAAATGACGAACTTATTCAATTTATTAATCGAGATAATTTAAAATGAAGTCGAAACTTGTTGAATATCTATGACTTTATCTGGGCTAACCCTTCGGGATCTGTTGTAAAAACATCTGTGCAAATTCTTTAATAACTACGCCGAATCTGATAATTGTCGCGCAAGTCGAAATCGGTTAAAAGACCAGACCTGAGCTAAACATTTGGAAAGTTTTGGAAAATTAAATTACATTATATTTGTCAATTAGGAAAATAATTGTGCTGATTACGATACCTATTTTGATTAGAGTAGTTATTAAGATATCAATTTTGATTAAAGTAGTTACATATTTCCAGGATAACGATTCTGAAATTGCGGATTGTTTCTTGGTGGCAAAAATGAATTATATTGGTTTTTAAACTTGGGATTTTCTATAGATTTCTTATATTTATTAAATTGTTCTTCTTTGCTTGCAAACGTAATTACTTCTTCTGGGTCGCCAATATCTTTTGTTTTGACCATTTGTTGGTAATGGAAAGGTAAATTCCTAACATACATATATAAACTTTTGGAAGACGGTGCTACATTCCCGTTTTTCTAGTCTCTTGAGATTTCTTTAATTTCGCCATTAATAAAGATTGATTCTGTAATATCCTATTTCTAAAATTGACTAGTGATTCTTGTCGGGGATCATAAGTGAGACGTATTAAATCTTGTTGCAACGTATCAATATTGCGAGGATCTCCGAAAGTCCTAATCAAAATTTGTTTGACTTCGATCCATGATTCTACTTCTAACCTGGTCTAAATATTAACTTGTGCTTGACCATTTAATTTATTTTTTATAGTACTTAATAGAAATTTATTTTGTTCTTCATTATTCTCATTTTAAAAATTCACAAAAATCATTTAAAAGCGATGGGTTACCATGCCTGAATACGCTGCCAAACTGACCAGATTTATAAAAACATTGATAATGAAGTAAGGGTTCATGGTCCGCAACTTTTTATTGCCTTTTTTGTTCCCTAAGTACATGTACCTTTTTGCTATAGTATAAAAAACAAGTCGGTTTTAACGAATCATATACGTTTATATATTTGAGGTTCAGTGTATTTCTCTCTATTTCTATTTCTAATACTTTCTATTAAATTGTGCATTCTCTTAAATCTTTTTATTTTGACTTATACTGCAGGTCTTCCACTAATAATTCTTTTACGAAACAGCACATCAAAGCATCTAATGCTAGCTGATCACTATTTATTTTACTTAAGTCTGTTCAGATATTTTAGGTATTTGTAAAACTGTGTTGGGTCAAATATTACTTATTTTATTTAAATTTTCTTGTACTAAAATAATATTAGATTTTTCTTCATCATTACTATTAACTGTATATCCCTTATCTGTAAAATTATCTATACTGATGTCGCGATTAAACTTATCTTCCGAGATAGACAAGTTCTTTTTTTCAAAATCAATATTTGAATCCTTTAATCCTGAATAGAATGATACATCAAGAGAGATTGTTCATCACCTAAAGCTAATTAGAAACAGCATACTTTTCAATTGTAGATAAAGGAGAACTTTTTTTGAAAATGTTTGTTAATTAAATATTGTTGTTTACAAAATGCATCTTGTAATCCATAAGGATAAGTACAAATTCCTAGATCAGAATTGACTTCACAGTTTGTGGAAATATCATTTAAACTGGGCACCAAAAATATACAGTTATCGAGTTCATTTATTGGATTTTCATTAAAATTTTTGGTCTTGTTCTCTAAAAGATTAAGCTTAGAAAAAGCATTCTTGCATCCATCAG